ATTCTTGCTAAAAATGTTTTGTCGTGTAATAAATATGAAAAATAAAATGCGTGCGTCTAAATTGGTATACTAAATTGAAAGAAAAGTATTTACTGTCGAGAAAATAATTTGATACTTTCATTACCGTATATAATTAGATCAAAATAGGGGAAAGAAATGCCCATTTTTAAAAGACCCATAGGAATTGTAATACTATTGTTTTAGCATCTTTATTTATTTTTACTTCAAGTGCATTTCCTGTGCTTCTGTTGTTTGAAAAAGAAAATAATATATATTTAATCACATTCGCACAAAAGATCTTGATATGTATTTTGTAAACCTTCCTCAAACCGCAAGATAAGATCCGTGTTCGAAATTGTTTTTTTCTTGCGGTGAAACATGTCGATACTGTAGTGCTGAAGGAAGGGGGAGGGTGGTATCCCGTTTGTAGAGATCGCTAACTTTGTTTCCAGTGGTGTGCATATCGAATTCTGGGTTCAAGTAACGATTCCTTCGAAATTCTCGCTTGGTATAGAAGTTAGGAAAATGAAGTGTCATCTTATAGGTGACGTCTTCATCAGTTGTCAGTTTTACTACTGTAACAAAAACAAAACATTGCTGCAATATTTGAAAGCATAAAAATTGGAGGTAGTCGTTCTGTTTATGCTGTATTTTGCCGTGGGAATATAAAGTAAATTATCATTTTCTTTCCACATAAAACGAAAAGATTACCTTTCTTTCGTGGCTGCACTATTTTGGTGGTCAAGGTCGCGAGCTGTTATCCAACATTTCATCTATTGAGTCGTGAGTTCAAGTCCTGATTCATATGCTGCCCGTTGTGAAGTTGGGCTGAAGCACATTAAATCTGTCGGGCTCAAAGTCCTTACGTTGTTGTTTGAGTTCGCGAACTTGCCATCGCCATTTTCGAATTATATAGAGGAAGTGATAATCTGTGTAGATTCAAAGTTGTGTGTGTTTTTTTTTCTTTAATGGGACTGCGTATTGGTATTTCTACTTTTGCAGATCTAGTACATTCCCCAGGAGCTGGTATCACTTTTTAGTGCAGCACCATTTAGGCGATACAAATTACCGCAAGTAATTTTGACACGCCCACTTTCTACCCCAGAGGGAGGCACCTGATCTCTGCCGATGCGAAATGTGTACTTAGGAATTTAATTTTGCCTAGAGTATCCAAGCCAAACCGACTCTCGATGGATTTTTTCATGCCGTATAATCATACGACATGGTCGCTATCGATTTTCTGCATCGGTAAATCCCACCGACTTGGGCCAGGGTCGAACCCGCAACCTTTGTAACAGAAGGCTAGTGACAAACCGATTACGCCACCCAGCCCGTTCTAGATTCAAAGTCATCTCTTTGAAATGGTGTAGAAGTTTGGAAAAAGTCAGGTACTATATATATATAGCTAAACTGTCGTCCTCGTTTAATTGACCTACGTTTAAAATTACGAGGTCTATCGCCAAGTAACCCTTGTACAGCTTCAAAGAGCGACATTAATAAAAAAAATCAAATCAAGTGTCGTCTTTGTCATTTGACCGTGATTCAAAATTACAAGGTGTTTCGTGTCAATAATTATGGCGTTACTTATGAGTGTGGCGTTCATACAAAGAATCAATCACATTTTCAAAAGACCTTTATATTGAGAGAAAAATATAACTAAATAATGCCGTCGAATTGTCTAGCTTATAATAAATTTGATGAAATAATCAGAGATAGATTTTCCAACCCGAATATATATAGCTCTCAAAATCGAAGAAGTAAATTGAAACTATTGTATTCTGACATGAAAATTTTACAATGTAACTTTTTCCCCAAATGCCAAATTAAATGTTTTTATATGTGCTTGTGGTTTGTAGAATGAAATTTTGCAATAGGATGTTAAAAAGAAACTGTTATTGAAGCTGAGTTGACATCACACAATTATTACCGTTTAGGTAATATAATGTATGCTATATGCTAGAAACAGTAGCGTACACAGGAATTTTTCAGGGGGAGGGGGTCTGGGATTGTGAAAGTTCACCATTCTTGTATCATGCTATTTTTGATTTTGTCGATTTTCAGGAACAAAACTCAGTAAAAAACTTATTGAATAAATAATTAGCATTAATTAATAAAATTAATCATTAATAACAAATATTTAATTAAATTTTACGTATTATATACTTAGAATTATAACCAATCGGGAAAAAATCAAGGGCTTTGGGGATCAAAGGGCCCCGGACCCCCTTGCGTGCGCCACTGGCTAGAAATGACATCTACTCTTATTAAAACAGTTGTAACTTTTGTACAATAAAAGGGTAAATAAAAAAAATTGGTATTTTTATAGATCTAATAAATTGACCTGCAAAATTAAACCATAAAAAAATTTTCTTTACAATTTTTGACGAAATCCGCATTTTAAAGATAGTCGAATACCTTAAGACCATGTTCCATCCTCATAAAAACATTTTGTTTGTAAGAATTTTTTTATTAATATTTTTCTTGAATTAACGGTTAGATTTACTTTTCATTATGTTTTAACTAAAATGTCATCAATTGCTTTACGTATTGCTTAACTTGTGAGATCAGTGGCGCACACAAGGGGGGTGTCCCGGGGATCTGGACACCCCCTATAGCCCTCGATTTTTTTTTCGATTGGTTATAATCCAATGTATATATTACTTAAAATTTAATTTTGTATTGTTTTTTTTCCCGAAAATCGACAAAACCAAAAGAATATGTTGGGTGGCGTATTGGAACATGATACTAAAATGGTGGACTTTCGACACTGGACCCCTCCCTTGAAAAATTTTTGTGTGCGCTACTGTGTAAGATTATTGTTGTAATATTTATTACAAATTCAGAATTTTAGGTACTACGTGACTTCTTTTTTTTGCATCCAAATTCTGAAATAATGTGTAAATACACTGGTGTGCAAAACTTAAGCAACAATGTAAAAATTTAGCAGATAGCCATGAAATTGCAGAAAAGGAGGTCTGGAGATCAGTACAGTGAACAAGTAAATCAGTAGAAACGTCATGCGCATGCAAATATCAGGAACAAAACGTCAGAAGCGATGTGAGCGTACGCAAAACGCGTGATGTCGGCGCGCGCTGCTCAACAGTAGAATAAAATGAAGGACGGAGACGCAATTCAACATATTCGCTGCAAGTGCCAGTGAGTCAGTTCGTGAAATATGGCTAGAAGAAATCACCTGGACGACTTCACAAGTGGAAGAATGATCGGAAAGCTGGAGGAGGGGCGTACTGTCACCAGTGTAGCTGCAGAGTTGGGAATCAACAAAAGTGTCGTTTCGCGCGCTTGGAAAGCGTTCCAAACCATAGGTACAGTTGTTAGAAAGGTTTGTGGTGGCCGCCCGAGGACGACAACTGCAGGGGGTGACCTATATATCATCCTGCAGGCGAAAAGAGGTCGACAGAAGTCAGCAAGTGCCATTGCTCAGAAACTCTGTACAGCAACGGGTCGACAAGTGTCGCGGTTTACTGTGGCCAGACGCCTTTACAAGGGGGGCCTGTTTGCCCGCCGTCCTGAACGCTGCCTCCCGTTGAAAGTTGGCCACCGAAGACACCGTTTACAGTGGGTGGGCCAAAGAGCACAAAAACTGGACAACTGATCAATGGAATTGTGTCCTCTTTACGGATGAGAGTCGTTTCAGTACCAGAAGCGATTCTCAACACGTTTTGATTTGGAAAGAGATCGGGACCCGGTTTTATCCCAGTAACATCAAAGGGAGAAAACCGTTACGGTGGTCCTGGAGTTCTTGTCTGGGGGCATTATGCTGAACGGGCGAACTGAGCTTCACATTTTCGACAGAGGGTCTGTAATCGGGGATCGCTATTGTGAGGGAGGTACTTCTTCCCCATGTGCGTCTTTTTCCCAGGTGCCTTTGACCCAGAAATTCATTTTTATGGATGACAATGCACGGCCACATCGCACTCTTGCTGTTGAGGAGCTGCTGGAAAGTGAAGATATCACTCGAATGGACTGGCCAGCGTGCTCCCCAGATTTAAATCCCATCGAACATGTGTGGGATGCTTTGGGAAGACGTATTGCCACACGCTTACATCATCCGGAGAACAACCAACAACTCAAACAGATGTTGATTAAGGAATGGGCACTCCTACCTCAAGAAATGTTGCACCAGCTGGTTCTGAGTATGCAGAGACGGTGCGAAGCAACCATTGTAGTAAGGGGAGGGCATATACCATATTAAGGAACATCTGCTTGTTGTTCTTCCTGTTGGATAGACAATCATGAGTCACGATACTATGCGTTCAATAAAGCTTGTTTTTGTTTGATTCCATACCGTATGCGTTGTATTCCTTTTTCAGCGCCGATGCTTTCGTCATCCTTTACGTACATAATACTCTCCCTCATTTCAGAATTTCATGTCTCTCAGATGATTTTTCGGGGTTATGGCAATAAACCCACCTGTTGCTTAAGTTTTGCACACCAGTGTAGATTTCATGTGTTCTATATAAAATAATATATATATTTTTCTTTTTTATGACATTTCAATGCATTTAAATTTTTATTATCTATATTTTATTTTATAACTTTTCTTGAACAAGCTCATATTTTTATATTGATCTTGCATTTCTTTACCTCTCTGCTGAATTACGGGGATGTAAATATTTTAAGGGACGGATGTATTATTCTTTAAAAATTGTGGTGTGATTTGTAATCTTGTTTAGATTTTCCTATAAAATATCATTTTAGTATCCCTGCTTCTTATGAATGCTTAAACAATATTCATTCTTAATGTTTTTCTCTCTCAGTTCCTACTATTAATTCACACTCTCCCTATATATACTCAAATTTTCAATCGTTAATAAAATACTTTTTATTCATCCACTCAAGTTCAAATATATTTTTTAAAACTTGTAGTGAATGACATTCAAATATTAACTCATTAAATAAATTTAATTAATGAATAAATAGTAACAGAAATAACAGTCCCAACAGCATGCATAGAAAGGAAAATCGCTCGTTGTGTCCCTGTAGCGCGATGAATAGCACGTTGGACTTCTAATCCAAAGGTCGTGGGTTCGAATTCCATCACCTGTTCGAATCCCGATGGCCTTATTTCTGAGAATGTGATTTCTTCTTACTATGCTATTTTATTAGAATAGTTAAATTTAATTAATGAATAAATAGGAACAAACAAACCAAAATAATAGTCCAACTCCTTATATAGAATGGAAAATTGAAAGAAAATAGCTTTCTATTTTGCTACTTAATATTGTGATTCTGTCATATTTATGTACATATTTATATTAATTGTAATTATTTAGTAAAAAGTAACAAAAATAAAAATTTTCTTTGTGTTGACCTAAGTAGGAATTGACTTTAAAATTTTTTCATATGTTCAATATGTGACAACCTGCCTAAATGTATGTAAGAAATATTCACCGATCCTTCTGCTAAACTTTTATTGTAAGATAATTTAGAAGGTTTTTATATATTACTTATTTTGATAGCAATTCGACTTTACTATGCATATCATTTTTTAAAAACAATGCTCCTTTTATCTTGAGTTTTGCTTCTATTCCGTTTTTGAATTTAGATCAAAAGAGTAGGAACCTGATATAAAATTTAGTTAGGTTTCCTTTTCTAAAGTATCCCCTTAATCTATTTAAAAACGAGGTCGTCGATTAAAATTCAACGAAAGGTAATATCACAGTGGCGTACACAAGAAGGCGAAGGTTAACCCCCTCCATGGGCCAACAGATTTTTAGCTCATTAGCGTAGATTACACGCCTCAATGTTTTCGTCTTAAATGAGTTTATTAATATATCTTCCCCTCCCCCCTCCCGCATGAAAGTGGTCTGCGTACGCCACTGTATTAATAAATAAATGTTCATTACACATTCTTTTTTAAACATGTTCATTCAAGAATTCAGCATAATTATTTTCGTGGACCGTCATTTTCGATTAGATATTAGTTATTACCCGTTATAAACCCCAAATCGACAAAAATTTCAACGCGGAGTACTCATTGGTGCTTTTACTTTCCCCGAGTCAAGAATGCGAAGGGGGTAGGGGGTATGTGAAAGGAATTGCCAGTTATGTAACCCATCAATAAAGAGGGCATTTGTAAGTCTCAAGCTGTCCAGTGGCCGTGATCTGGGCGACCTCGCTCACCCGCGGGCGAAGGAAGTGCACTAACCTCATCATATCACTTAGAGAACACTTTTTTTTTTTCTTTTCCTTATTTTTTTCCCCTTTGGTATTATTATTTCTTTCGCTACTTACGTAGGTTAGTAGCTGGTCCGAACCATCCATCAACTCATTCCACCTTTATTTTAACCGAACCTGAACCCGGGTTAAATACTTGTATATTTTTGTGTTCTCTGTTCACCTTCAGTGGGCTTGTTTAAACGAGACCCGCCCACGTACCAGAAACTGTCTGTGGAAATTGTGAAAATGGAGTTGGACCAAAGCATCAAGGTTTGTTGTTGGTTTGAGTTTCGAAAATATGCTCACACAAATCTACTTCTTTTATTGAAAGGCTGTAACTCAGGGGTACTGAACCTTTTTTATCGCGGGGCCACATACATGTGACAACTATTTCACGCGGGCCGCAACATTAAGATTAATGGAGGGTGGGGATAGTATAATATCAAGGACATTAAAGGAGGAAAATTGATCAAAATATTAAAACTCGTAATTTCGGATTTTATTTTAAAACTATATTAAATGCTATCAAACTCAACTCACTAGAAAAAAAATGGTATGCATTTTTTTACCCATTTATGGGGTTATTTCGATTTTTTTTCTTCAATGATTTAGTTATATCTTCTCACCCCAATATTTCGTCGCTATTGCAAAGATTTTTTTAAGAAAGCCAATTTATCTCGTCTTGTATAAGAGATCCTCAAAAAAGAGAGAGACGTTAAAAGATTTATGCTTAGTGGCAGTACCGCACACAGAAATTTTTTAAGGGGGGGTGTCCAAGGTCACAAGTCCGCCATTCTTGTATCATGCTCCTTTTGATTTTGTCGATTTTCGGAAACAAAAACAGTAAAAAACTAATTGTTGAATGAATAGTTAGCATTAATTAATAAAATTAATCATTAATAACAAGTACTTAATTAAATTTTACGTACTAAATACTTAGAATTATAATCAATCGGAAAAATAATCAAGGGCTTTGGGAGGGGTCCGGACTCCTAGGACACCCCCTTGTGTGCGCCACTGCTTAGTGGTATAGTGACGAGCAAAATTAAATTTTTTACCTATAACATTTTCACGACAAATCAAATAAATTGTTGATTGTTACTTATTTTTCTCTATTAAATAGTTCAGATACCAATCTTCTTCAAACAACAAATATTCTTTCGATATTTTTCGCTTGGAAGACATGAGTGTTAATAAAAAATTAGATTCACACTTAAAATGGTATGTACTTTACTGTTATTTGTTATCACGAACCGTTACAGTTACAAAAAGAAAAAAAGTTATCTCGCAATTCCTACCAGCACGACATCGATAGCAAAATTGATATATGAGATTGATTGATAGAATTCCTCGTAAATTTTTAATGCATTATTCTTAAATAATTGAATTAGTGCAACGGGTCATGATCGGGCCACTCGGTAAAGGTTTGTTGGGCCACCTGTGGGCCGCTGGTTGAGTATCTCTGCTCTAACTTAACAGATAGTGAACCTATCATGAAAAGTCTTAACTAGATGAACTATATTACTGATTTGTGATTTATTATTAATACTTTAGATTGTACTGATTTGCGTTCATCATACCTTCTATTTTTACATTCTGTACTGAAAATTGCAGATAAGGTTATAATTAAATACGACAATCACCAATTTTAAAATGAGGGAAATGTTTCCCATTGTCAAAAAATGTTAGGTATCAGAATTAAAAAAGACCGAGAAAAAATGTTTCTCGTAAGAGATTTAAAGGGATTAGAAATTGGTTCACTTTGATAAGTTCTTGAAACAATCAGTGTAAACGTAATTTACATTGTAGATTTCATAACTAAACACGACGAATTTTTTAAAAAATATGAAAACTAAATCATATTGATACATTTAAATTCTTTGGAATAAGGAAATTTTCGGGGGAAATTTTAAAAATTACTCATCTTTGATTTTTTTCGCGTTGAAAGGAAAGTTAAAATATGTGCTTCGCAATTGTCTCAAATCGATAATTCATAATATTGACTCGTGTATCTTTTTATATCCATCTTACTTGTGTGCTTAGAGTTATTAACATAACTCGAAAATAACTTTCATTTATTCGTATTAAATTTTCTTAAATCAATTAGTGTCACTTTGTATAATGTCTTTATGCAAAGTCATTACGAAAACTGTAACTTGTTCTTAAATCTATGAATCAAATTTTGGGTAAAATATTTTTTTCTAGTAACTTTACGAGATCGAACTGAAATGCAAAAAGGTGAAAAATGCTAAGTAACATAATATTTATAATGTTGTCTCCATATCGTCGAAAATCCAAAAATTAACATAACTTGATGTATTCTTTAAAGTTTTTTAAGTTGAGAAATTGCGCCTATCGTTTCTAATAAAAAATTCTACTCCTGTAGCACCAGTGGATTATATCGTGATATTTTGCTTTTCTGCAACAATTCGTCTTTCTACAACTAATCTTGTTTTGAAATTGGAAGGCCAAAAACTTTCAGTTTTGTGTATTTATTAAAGCTAACTTGATATTATAAGTTGCGATGTTTAAGCGAAGTTTTAATTGTCTAGAACAAGAGTTGGCAATCTGTGGCACGCGGTGCAATTCTCAGTACTATTCTGCGCTACTCCACAAATTTGTCAATATTTGAGTGGATGGAAGTTGGTAAATTTGCAATGGATCTTATTTAACAAACATCTTCAGAATACGGACAATTACGGAATTACGAAAAACACTTAACTCCAAAATTAAATTTACAGTTATTTTGTAAATTATTGAATGTCATTGCCGGAGCGATTTAATTGTTTGAAGAGAGAAAATTGTATATACTCTGCTTTACGCTTCTGGTTCCACATATCTAAGTAAAAAATATTTCCTCATATGAAAAATATTTCGAGTCCGCAAATAACTTGTTTAACAACTGAATGCTCAGAAAGTTTGTGACAAAGTCAGTGACAAATTGAAAGTTTTAAATTATACCCCTGACTTTGTGTGTGTGTGATATGAAAATAAAACGGCACAAGCATTAAGTTCTTTTTTTTTTTTTTTTCTTCATTTAACTATAATGAAGGAAAATATTTGTATTTTATGTTGTATAAATCTTATTTTAATAAATATGTTTTATTTTAATTTTTTACAATTTTTCTTGAAGTAATAAATATATTTTATGCGGTTTATTTTTATGTTAAGAAATCTCTTTAAATGATGCGAAATTAATGTATATTAAAACTGTAAATCTATATTATTGACCTCCATTCTCTTAAGTCTGCATGCATTATCACGGGAATCGAAATGTTTCAAACTTTTTTTTACTGTGTGGCGCGCTGAATCATATTGGTACATTGGTTTGGCACGCCAGAGCTAAAAGGTTGCCGACCCCTGGTCAGAAAAATTATAATTTCTTTTTAAAGTGTATAAAAATGTAAGCATTTTATACTTCTAAGTTTAATGGGTTGTTTATTGTATTTGTATTATACAAAACAAATTTAGTTTTTATTCAAGCGTATTGAATCACAGAGAGGTTATGGATGTTTCTGATAAATAAAAACATAAGTCATTTATAGCAAGCTTGAGGACTTTCGATGTACAATTTTAGTCTGTTTTGGAACTTCTTTTTTTTTAAAAAAAAACTGTCTTGCTTAGTAGTCTCGTTAATTTTATAATTTTTATGTAACACTATTGCATCAATTAGCACTTATAAAGTAATTTGAAGTAAGCTGGGTGGTTTGTATTTTCTTTATCTTTAAATTCTTCAGTGTTTGTTTATTTTACAAAACTATTAGCTTTTTAAAAAATATAATTATATGAGATAATATAAGGTATGATGAGGCAATATTGAGGTATAAATAATATATGAGGGGGATACAAAATACATATATAAATTTGCAAATATATGATACATA